ATTTATCTTATATTTCATCAATGGACATCTAAATTAAATTTATTCATCTGTACGGTTGGTTGCCAGACCCCAAAGCTGGCATGCTTGGGAAATTGGGATAGAGTATTGGACAAACATTTTAAAGCCAAACATTAAAAATACATATTAAATTAATAAATAATATAGTGTAATTAAAAACATAATAAAATAATATAAAATTAAAATTTATAATCTATTAATTAAATAATTAACTCAAATAATCAGTCAAATCATAGGCTTAAGAATTAACATATCAAATAAAATTTAATACTTCTAATCTAAATTTTAATCCTTATTTTATAAGCAAAAACAATCACATATCTTATTTTTATTTTTTAATATATTTTAAAAAATATATACCATATTATTAATTTTATTTGTAAAATTTAAAAACTTCATATATAATTTTTCTTTTAAAACTTCGATTATTGAAAAAAAAACCAAAAATTAGCACATAGCACAAAATTAAGTTTAAATTAATTTAACTTGTTTATTAAGTAAAAAAATATATTTATAAAAAAATTAATTCAATTCACAAAAGCAATAAGATCTTAGTTTAGTGACAAAAAGAAAACTTTAAAATCTTAAAATTTTAGGTTCAAATTTTATTGTGTTAAATTTTAATTGTTTAACTAATTTTAAGTCTGTGCTATGTACGCGGTAAGCAAACGATTATCATTTTTATTATCTAACATTATTTGCTTTAAAATAATCATATAAGTAAAATATTAGAAGGTTTATAGCGGTATAATAAATATGTTGCTATATTTAACATATCCACTTTTTTTTTACAAGGTTGAAAAATTAAATTTTAATTTTTATCAAATATTTAAGAATATTATGTAATTTCAAAAAATTAAGGTCAAGAAAAAAAAAATTTTCAATTTAAAAATCTGTCAAATATTACTTATGTGAAAATTTAGAATTTTATATTTGTGCTATGCATGATGCAAGTGTATATATAATAATTTTATAATATAATATTATTTCAAATTTTAATTTAATTATAATTTTAGAGAATAATTTAAATTTTATTTTCATGATCACAAATATATTGATGATAGTTGATAAAAAACTTAACTCACACTAAATAATTTTTTATCATCATTTTATTTATAGTTTAATAGATAATCTTGATTTGATTATTAATAAAAAGTTATAAAATTACAAAACAAAAAAATATGATATAGATTTTTTTTCTCAATAAAAAAAATAATTTTATTTATAAAATCAACAGATTAAAGAATTTAAAAATCTCACTAAAGAATGCTCCAATGTATAAACAGAAAACAATTATAACAATACTTAATAGTGCACACAATATGATTTCTCAAAAAAAAAAAAAAATACACATATTCTAACCTCTTGGAGTTTACTACCAACATGCATGAAATAATTTTATTTTTTTCACTCCCCATTTTGTTAAAAAATATAGTTTGCTACTTTGCTTCTCTACAAGTATAGGCAAAATCAATAATTTCCATTTTACTTATAATATTTAAAAAATTTTCACTCATCCAATATCTTAAATGTGTGTGGAATATCTATAATATAATTGTAACTTTAGATCGAATATTATATATATTTATTTAATTTTAAAGAGATGTAAAAATAATTGATTAGATAAAGTTACATATTTAAAAAAATTAACATGAAAATAAATTTAGATCAAAATATGTTATAAGTTTATATGCTCATCGAATTTTAAAAATTTAAATCCTCTAATATAATTTAAAAAAATTTAATCATTGTATTCTTATTTTTTTAAAAATTCAATTCAATCATTAACAGTGTTAAATTTTATCTATTAAATAATTAACATAATATTTTTATTGATTTTTAAAATTATTAATATTACCGTGTATTACAAATTATAACCACGTAGACTACAAAAAATTTATGTCAAATATCTCAAATATTTCTTAAACTTAATAATTTCATCAAAAAAAATTACTCTAAAAATAAAAGAAAAAAACAAAAACAGTAACAGTAACAGTAACAAAACTCAGCAACTGGTCGACTCGCTGTCGTTCGACCACCATCAACCACCGTACATTATGACCGCAAGCGCCTCTTCGATCCTCCTTGCTTCTTTTTTTTTTTAGCTTTTCAAACTCCTTCCTTTTCTTAAGCCGAAACCCAAAGCCAAAAATTCCATAGCCAGAAACTACTAAATATCACCGTTATAGTCGCCTTTTACCTCCATCGGCATTCTTTTCAGTAGCGTAGCTTTTTTGCCCAGACCCTAGAAGAAAACCAAGAAACTCTCCAAAAATTTCAAACAAAAGCTACAGAAAAACCTTTGGCCCTTTTCTTTCTTTGCAATTTTGTCTTTGTGAATTAGGTTGTTTATGCTACTGAATTGCTTGAATGTTTGCTTATTGTTTGGTGATCATTTGATCTAACTTTTGTTTGTTGGAGCTTCCAATTTGGCTTCTGGGTTTTTAATTGAATGATTTCGGTTGTTTGTGTTAGACCTTGTTGTTGATTCCTGCCTTGAAGTTGCTTTATTACTTTTGGTTGCTTGAATTTCAAGTTTGCTGAGTTTGTGAAATTTTTGCTTGTGGCTAGATTCGGTTTGAAGTTGCTTCATCGTAAGACTGTGTTTTTTAGCTGTCGGGTTTCGGTTAATCTTCCGAGCTTGCTGGTTCTGATTCTCTGCTATATGCCAATCAGAAAATAAAGCTTGAATGCCAAATTTGTCTTTGTTTTAGATTGTTTTGATTGCTTCCTTCTTGTTAATTGAGGCCCTTGGCTACTGTTTCTAGAAATTGGTTGCTTCTATTTTTTTTTTTCGGAGTAATTTTTTAATGATATTATTAAGTTTAAGAAATATATGAGATACTTGACGTGGATTTTTGATAATCCACATGATCAATATTAATAATTTTTAAAACCAAATGAAAGTACCGTATCAACAATCACATCGATCATTTAAAGTATAAAATTTAATACGATTGAATTAAATTTTTAAAAAAATAATAATACAATGATTAAATTTTATTAAATTATATTAAAATGATTAAAATTTTTAAAATTTGATAAGCATAAGGATTAGGACACATTTTGACATAAATTTTGATATTAATTGTAAAACATTTTTTTGTTATATTAATATTTTAAATTTAAATTGTATGTATGTGTTTTTCAAACAAACGAAACATTTGTATTAATTTATATCTTATATTATGAAGAAGTTGAACTTATATTAAAATTAAACTATTGGCATTTTTATTTTAACATTGTTTGTTTTTGTTATTAATTGGTGGCATATCAATATGGCTTTTTAAAATTTCTATCTATAAAAACAAAATCAATAATATCTATCTAAAATAATATAGAAGAATATAGAAAATTGAGTATAAGAGTTTCAATTATAGTTTGAGTATTTCTAAAATTTTAAAACTTGTTAAATGAAATAAATGATAAATTTCATAAAATTGAGGAATTTGTTTCATTTTTTATAAGATTAGTAAAAATTACAAATTAGTACCCCTTACATCATGTAAGGCTTCATTCACTATGAACTTAGAAATTAATGTTTCCATTTTCAATTGAAATCAAAACATATATAGTAAGGTCATAATCAACTATATCATTTTAAGTCTATTTAGCTTATAATACAATATTTGATAATCCTTATGATTTGATTTTCTACCAATGCATAATTGTCCAGCGTGATAGTATATAAATTAATCAATCGTTATTAACATCTGATTGTAAAGTTTTGCAAATCAACATAATCTTATGGAATAATACTTAAAAAAAAACAAAATCTAAGCTTTTACTAATTAATACCTTGAGAAAAAAAAAGAATTTTCTAGCAATATCACATTCAATATCATATAAAAAAATAAAAAATTCACTTTTAAATTATAAATTAGAAAAAAAATTATACCAAAATATATAGTTGATAAAATTACTATTCTAAAAATAAATTATAATAATTGCATAGATAAAAAGCATAAGTAAAAACATTAATAAACTTACAAAAGAATAACAAGCAATACTAAAAAGTAAATTTCTTATAATATAATAGAGATAAAATTGCAATAAACAAAGTTGTAGAATAGTCAAATTCTATTTGCTTAATATATATTTTTTAAAGAACATTTGTATTTATATTATTGTCAAAAACATTATCGTAAATGCATTAAAAAGTTATTATTATTAATTGTAAAATACAATAAGTAATAAAAGACATATAATTAATGCAATTGTTCTTTTAAAATTATAAATTCTGAATTATTATCTAATCTGCTATCTGTTTAAAAAATAAAATAAAATATTCCCTAATTTAATGATATCTCATTTCTTTTTTCTTATTTACTACATTAAATTTCATTTAATTTTTCTTGAATAATTAGAGATATGAAAATATATTTATGAGTAATTAGTTTTTTATTTAATTTCTTCTTTTATTTGTATTATTGATCAAGTTAATTATAATTTATTTATATAAAGTAAAAATATTTGATATTTAAAAGGTAATAAATGTAATTAATTTAGTTTAATTAATTATTTTCAAGTAATAAAAATATTACTATAAAAAAATAAAAATATTTTAAATAAATAAATTGTATTTATTATAGAATACATCATAATTTCTTAAACCTATCCACATATTAAAAATGTAAACTATCCACATTGTACTATTTTTATTTTTATAAAAAGTTTTGAGTTTTATATATTTATATAAAATTATATTTTAATTTATTAGTTAATTGCCAAAAAAAAAGGATATTTTATTTGTTATTATCAATATCAAGTAGAATTATGAAGTAGAAATTTTTTTTAATTCTTGAGTTCCGTTGAGTATTTTTTTTTTAGTCAATTGAAACAAATTTATCAATTTAATGAATTCATAAAAGATTTTTTTATAATTTTTAAATAAATACAAATTAAAAAAAAAAACATTGTTTACCACTTGAGTAAACCATCTATAGTTGGAGTACAATTTTTTAGGAAAGAAAATTTGTAACTAAACTAAAATATAAACGGGAGGGCTGTAACTGCTTTCTCAGGAAACTAACCACAGGGTACAGAAGTTTCTCGTTCACGCGGGTCCCACCCCGACCTCCCGCTCTACACCTCATCTCCTCTCCTTCTCGTTTCTTCACCTCGAAGGTAGAAAAAAAAAAAGAGAAAAGAAAAGAGAAACATCTCTGGAAGATGCAAGAAGCCGAGCTTCACGATTTATCAGACGACGCCGATTACGCTGCGTCTCAACAACAAGTAAGCAAAAAAAAAAAAATCACATCCAACGTAATTCTTTTCCGTTTGTTTGATTCTTAGTATTTATTTTTATTTAAATGAATTGCTTTTAATCATTTCCTTTTTGCGCGATTCGATCCCATGATTAATTGTTATCTTCAAGATTTGAATTTAATTACGGTTTTGTTGTTTTCATTTTGTTTCCTTCCTTTTTTTTTCTTGGGGTGTAGGGATCGGCGAGTATGACGCGGTGTGACAGTGGGAAAAGAAGCTCCTCGAGTGAACCGGAGGGAGCTGAAATTGTTTATTTGAAGGATAATGTTACAATTCATCCTACACAATTTCCCTCTGAACGGATTAGTGGAAGATTAAAGTTAATTAAGCAAGGCTCTTCTCTCTTTATGGTAATTACTTCGTTTTTAAGTGCTTCTATGTACTTATATCGATGGTTTTGTTAATTATTTTTATCATTGAATAACATGCCATCGATTGTTTTGATCATGCTATTTGCCTTATCTAATTTGAGCTGATTTTTGCAACATTTCATGTGGCAAATAGTCATTCGATGAGTTCGTAATGTGCCCGACCAGTTCATGGATATGATACGCATCAAGGGAGGCAAATAGGATGTGAAAAAGTGTTGGGGAAATTATTATTTTTGAATGTTTTATCTATTGTAGAAATTATATGTTTGTTTTTTGTATTTGATTGTAGACATGGATTCCATACAAAGGGCAAAGTACGAATGCTAAGCTGTCTGAGAAAGGTTTTCATCTTTGGACTTGTGATTTCAATGCATTATCAATTTGGTATTAGATTATATGTCTGCTGAAGTTGTTGTTTCATGGCTTTATTATGCAGATAGGAATCTCTATACTATTAGGGCAGTGCCATTTACTGATGTGAGGTCCATTCGTAGACACACTCCGGCTCTTGGGTGGCAGTACATTATTGTTGTTCTATCATCTGGTAAGGAACCGTAAACTCTATTGTTTCCATGGCTTGTGGTATAAAAGGTCAAGCATGTTGGCTTTTGAAGTTGTATGTTCTACTTCTACTTATTATGTTCAGTTGATCTTCATGCGAACTTTCATGGCCTTGTGGGAGGAGAAATATATTTTAAATACGAACTAATTCATATATTTAAGGCCAAATTTGTGTGGAGATATGTTTTACCAAAATCTCTTAGGGTTATGTAATGAAAATGTACTGCCTTTGGAGATGAGCCATTCTTTTAAAGCCATATATTGTTTAATTACCACCAATGCTATGCACACACAGAATTTCATCAAACGATAATAAAGTTTGTGTGATTTCCATTGTGTATGAATAAGTAATCAGAGCACTCTTAAAGGAAGATGGTAGATTCTACTCCACAATTATAGTGCCTTTAGTTCCAGAAACTTGTGAATAGAACCTCTAAGTAGAGAAGCTGATAAATGATAATCTTCCAACTTTACTTTTTTTATTGAGTTTTTTAAATGATAATAAGCAAAGTCTTTGGAGATGCGGTACTTATCAATTTTTTATTTGCTTCTCTTCTTTGTTTGATTTATCGCTTAGAGGCCAATGCCTGATGTGAACAATGTAAATATGAAAAGTTAAATCCTTGCACAACTTTTTAACTCAACTAAATCAACTTTAAGGAGATAATTAATGCTATAATCTGCATGATTATATAATGAAACCTGTCATAATTTGAAAACTCTGAAGCATTGGATAATAGATATTCAATATCTTAAAGAGCTGAAGCATCGTGAAAACTGGTGTCATCTAGATTTCTTTAAAATGGTCATGTGTGGAAATTGCTTCTTTACAGCCTTTACTACATATTGACAACTAATTTCTTTCCCTAGACATTTCAAAATTTTAGTGGAATAGTAATGATTTTCTTTTTAGCATACTGGCTGCATGGCTACGTTTACCTGACAGTTGAAAGGACTAGTAGGCACAGAATTGACTGTGTCATCTTTGTGCTACTTCCAGCATCTCATTTGTTTATATCCATCTTCATCGAGTGTCCCAAAGAACCACTTATTAACTGACTAGCTCGAAATGTATCAAATTACTACTTAATAGTTGATTTGTTCTTGTAGAAAAACTAAGAAATAAATCAGTGTGGAAACTGAATGTATGTTGGAAAACTGCTTATTGAGAATTATACAAGAATTTTAGGTTTATATACAACTAACTAGGGGTTAAACTAGGAAACTAAATCTTCCTAAAAAACTAATCCTATAATTGAGGGATTGTCTATCCTAATTTTAGGGATACAAATACTTAATTCTAGATACAAATATAAATATAAAGATTACAATATTACAACCAGCTGTAAATAAGTATTTTCCCACACTCCCCCTCAAGCTGGTGAATAGGTGTTTTCCATTCCTAGCTTGAAAATAATTTCTTGAAATGTTGCACTACTGAGACCTTTAGTCAATACATCTGCAAGTTGAACCTTGGTTGACACATAAGGTGTACAAATCAACCCATTGTCTAGTTTCTCCTTTATGAAATGCCGGTCTATTTCAATGTGTTTTGTTCTATCATGTTGCACAGGATTGTGTGCAATGCTTATTGCAGACTTGTTATCACAGTAGAGTCTCATTGGTCCATCCCACTTGATCTTCAAGTCTTCTAAGATAATCTTTAACCATAGTAGTTTACAAATTTCTTGAGCCATTGCTCTGAACTCTGCTTCAACACTTGATCTTGCCACCACATTCTGTTTTTTACTCCTCCAAGTCACAAGATTACCACCTAAGAAAATGCAGTAGCCTGAGGTGGATCTTCTATCAGTTATTGAACTTGCATAATCAGCATTTGTATATGCTTCTAGAAATAACCCCGAATTTCTTCTGAATAAGATACCTCTCCCAGGATTGGCCTTCAAATAGTGCAATATACGGTAGACAGCCTGTAGGTGCACTTCTTTAGGACTATGCATAAATTGACTTACCACACTCACAGCATATGCTACATCAGGTCTAGTATGTGAGAGATAAATGAGTCTTCCAACTAATATTTGGTACATCTCTCTATTTACAGCAGCATCTTCATTAGCTTCTCCAATTTTATGATTAGGATCTATAGGGGTATTTGCAGGTTTACATGCAAGCTTTCCAGTTTCCTTCAGAAGATCCATCACATATTTCTGTTATGAGATGAAAATACCATGCCGTGAGTGAGCTACTTCAATTCCTAGGAAGTACTTCAATCTCCCTAGCTTCTTTATCTCAAATTCTCTAGCCAAACACTGTTTTAGAGATTCTCTCTCTTTTTCATCATCTCCAGTTACAATTATATCATCAACATACACTAATAGAACTGTGACTCTCCCTGAATCAGAGTGCTTGATAAACAATGTGTGATCTCCTTGACTCTGTTTATATCCCATTGCTAGCATCACTTTGACAAATCTCCTGAACCAAGCTCTAGGAGACTGTTTAAGGCCATATAAAGCTTTTTTCAGCCTGCATACTTTGTTTGCTTCTAGATGACCTCCAAATCCCAGTGGAACCTTCATATATATTTCTTCTTCCAAATCACCATGTAGAAAAGCATTCTTTACATCAAATTGTTGAAGTTGTCAATTGTAATTTGTAGCCAATGATAACAAAATCCTAACTGTATTCATCTTGGCAACTGGAGCAAAGGTTTCCTGGTAATCCATTCCATAGGTTTGAGTGTAGCCCTTAGCCATTAACCTGGCTTTATACCTTTCAACAGTGCCATCTGCCTTGTATTTTACAATGAAAACCCATTTACACCCCACTGAATTTTTTCCTTTAGGCAACTTTACCAGTTCCCATGTCTGATTTTTCTCTAAGGCCTCCATTTCTATTTTCATGGCTTGCCTCCATTTCTCACTGGATGATGCCTCGGATAATGTAGTTGGAATAGAAATAGTGTTTAGGCTCATAAGAAAATTTTTGTGGGATGGTGAGAATTTTTCAAATGACACAAAATTAGAGATTGGGTATAGTGGATGCTTGGTACATTCTCTGGTTCCTTTCCTAATGGCAATAGGCAGATCATAATCACTAGTTATAGTTTTAGGAGATTCGTGCTCATTTTGAGAAACAGAGTAAAAAACTGTAGTTACCTCATTTCAAGAGTTAGGATCAGGTTCTTGGACTGGCACTGGTTCAGAATCTGGAACTTTTCTTCTTGAGTACACCTGTAATTCCTTCATAGAATCAAGAACAATATTATCCTTTGTCACATCTTCCATATTTGGAATGGGTTCAGACTTAAATTCATTGTTTGACTTGGGCTCAGCAGAAACAGGTTTCGACTCAGAAGAATTAATGGGTGTAAATGTTGAAGAAGGGGGCAAATTAAGTAAAAAGAAGTCTTTATCCTTATCTTCCATGAATGAAGTCTCCCCTGAAGATAAGGTTGAGTAAAAAATGGTTTATTTTCTTCAAAAGTGACATCTGCAGACATATAATTTTTTGGTAGGAGGATGATAGCACTTATATCCTTTTTGAGTTGAAGAATACCCCACAAAAATTCACTTAATCGCTCTTGGATCCAACTTTTCCCTGTTATGACTGTGAACATGAACAAATGATGTATAACCAAATATCCTAGGTGTGAGATTATTTGTGGTATTGAGGTTGGGATAAAATTGTGAGAGTAGTTCCATAGGAGTTTTAAATCCCAAAAGCCTTGAAGGTAACCTATTTATAATATGTGTGGCAGTGAGAACATCTTTCCCCTAGTAAAATTTAGGTGCATTTGCTTGAAAAAGAAAGGTTCGGGTTGTGGCTAGTAAATGGCTATTTTTCCTTTCTACCACTCCATTCTGTTGTGGAGTATGAACACAATATGACTCATGGATAATCCCCTCTTTTTGGAAATAGGTAGATAGACTCTGGTTGAAGTAGTCTCTTGCATTATCAGACCTAAATCTCTGGATTCTCACTCCAAATTGATATTGGATCATGTTTTGAAAGCTTAAAAATACATTATTCACATCTGATTTGGATTTAAGTAAAAAAAGCCAAGAGACCCTGGTACAATCATTTATGAATGAAATAAACCATCTCGCACTAGAAATATTAGAAATTGTAGAAGGACCCCAAATGTCACTATGAATCAAGTAAAAGGGAGTAAAACTTCTTTTGTTACTGATTGAAAAAGACACGTCTATGCTTTGCAAGTTCGCAAACATCACAATGAAAATCTTCGACATTTAATCCTTTGAACAAAGAAGGAAACATGTTTCTCAAGGTTCCAAAAGAAGGATGTCCAAGACGAAAATGATAAAGCCAGATTTTGTCTTTATTGGAAGATTTTTCAGAAAGAAATGACAAAGGTAAACTATTCTTGATACTACTTGTGTTATTTGATGTCTCAAGATAGTATAGTGTATCCTTCTCTTTAGCAAGTCCAATCATCTTCCCCGAACTCTGGTCCTGAAATTCATAATAAAAGAGATAAAAAGTTACTTTGCAATTCATATCTCTGGTAAGTTTTTGTATAGATATCAGATTAGTAGACAATCCAAGAACATGAAGAACATTTTTTAGAACAAACGAGGGATTAACTTGAACATCTCCTAATCCTGCCACTGTGGTAAGTGAACCATCTGCAACAACAATTTTCTTATTACTAGGACACAGGTTATATGTACTAAACTTTTGTGAGGAATGTGTCATGTGGTCTGTAGCTTCTGAGTCAATGACCCAAGAACTTGTAATAGGCTTAGCCGAGACATTTAATCCATGAGAACTGGAAGCTTTACCTGAACTAGAAACCTTACCCAAAGAACATACCACAGTAGGCTTTTCAAGGATTTTCAATAAGCTTCTCAGCTTTTCAATCTCTTCCTTGTCAAACTCTCCTTGTTTCTGAGATATCTGTAGTACTTCAGTGATTTTTCTAGTTAACATTTCTTCAAATTGGGTGGTAGTGATATCTTTCTTTGAAAGGGTTCGGCAATGAAGGCCTAAACAGGATTCGGCAATGAAGGCCTAAAAAAGTCAGCAATGAAGGTTGAAAATTTTGCTTCCCAAGAAGAGCCTAAAGCTCTGATACCATGTGGAAAAACTAAGAAATAAATCAGTGTGGAAATTGAATGTATGTTGGAAAACTGCTTATTGAGAATTATACAAGAATCTTAGGTTTATATACAACTAACTAGGGGTTAAACTAGGAAACTAAATCTTCCTAAAAAATTAATCTTATAATTGAGGGATTGTCTATCCTAATTTTAGGGATACAAATACTTAATTCTAGATACAAATATAAATATACAGATTACAAGATTATAACCAGTTGTAAATAAGTGTTTTCCCACAGTTCTACTTGCAAGTCTTTGCAATTCCTTTGATGATTGTTAAAAGATGATGTAAATGGTTTAATCTTGTGGATTTTTTCAAGTTTTTGATTTAAGATTTTATCTTTACATTATGTTTATTTCTATTGTGCCTATCCTACTCTTTACGTTTATGAAATGAAATTGTTTTTTAGGACTTGCATTTCCTCCCCTTTACTTCTATAATGGAGGAGTTCGAGAGTTCCTTACTACAGTAAAACAACACGTTTTTCTTGTGAGGTTGGTTTGTGCTCATTTTAAGTTCCAGTTTAGTAGTTTTGTGTGATCAATAATTTTGATTTCATCTTCAAGAGTTTGACAATACTTGCTACAGTATTTTACCAAGAATTAAATCTTGGGATTAACCATTGTTGCCTAACATATTCTTACTTGTTAAAATAAATGGGAATACAGAAAGACATGTAAAGGAATAAAATTACGAAGAAAAACTATTGCATATATATTGTAAAAGTTGCCGTGAATTGTTCTCCTCACAGAATCAAGGGTTCAAGTCTTTTGGAAGATTGTGGAGTTTTGCTGATTTATTCATTTAGAATTTGAGCCTGTGCTAGTACAATAAACTTTCTTTTCTATAATGATGTCTGGACACATATTCAGAAATCTCAGGAGATTTGATAGATTGTTGGAATCCCTAAGAGGGTTTTTTTCCTTGATTCGATAAAATAAAAAATGTCTTTTGTATTATTTCCTTTTACACTATAAGTCTTGATTTTTCTTGATGAAGAATCTGCTACAATGAGGATTTTTTTTTTCTTTTGTCAAATGTGCCATAATTAATAATTACAATTGTTAATGGTACTTGTGCCATGAAGCCTTTGCCTCATTTTTAAAATGAAAATTTTCTTGCACGTGTGTCTGGGCATATATGATGGGAAGAATTTTAATGATATAAATACATCTATTTTCATACTTGTTTGGTCCTTCCACTTATAAATTTTCTTAATTCAGGAGTTTTCTCTTGAAACAATTAGTATTATTTTGCAATTATCTTCGTATATTGCAATATTTTTTTGTTGTATCTGTCTTAAGCTAACGATTTATTACAAAAAGATATACTGTTAGATTTCTTTGAGGTCTTTATTTTTCTTCTTATCTTCAGGTCAGCTGAAGATGCAAATGTATTTCTTATGAACGACTTTCAAAATCCTCTGCAGGTGTGTATAATGCTAATATACCTGTTTGGTTTGTTGTTACTACTGAAATGTCTTTCAGTAACTGCTATATAGTTCATTAATTCTTCAGCAGCAATGTTTCCCATAGCATTTGCCTCACATGGGAAATAAGAATACTTTAATTGCAGAATATCTTACTTTTATAGAGGTTAATTATTTTAAATGCAGGTCTAAGTTGTGCCAACTAACATTGTCTTTTCTGCTTTTTGTTTTTAATTCGATACTAGATTTGTCGAACTAAATGTCCATTTTTATTTTGTTTGTTTTTGTTGATCATATGTGGTCAAAGAGTTGCTATTTTTTCTTAATCTCCTAATTGCTTGTTACAGCGAATTTTGTCTTCATTGGAGCTTCCCAGGGCAGTTTCCATTGCAAGTACTCCATCAACCCCTGTTTCAGTTGGGGAGTCTGCTTCACACGAAAAAGAAGAGGGGATGGATGTGGGAGTTTGTGATGGAAGTGCTAGTATTCCTCATTATAATGGGAGGCGGAGGCAAAAGATTCATGATCCTGCTCGAGACATTTCAATTCAAGTTTTGGAGAAATTTTCTCTTGTAACCAAGTTTGCCCGAGAAACAACTTCACAGCTATTTCGGGAGACTCATAGCAATGGTCATTTTGAGAGGAGAAACTCTAACCAGTCTGCCCTTGATTATAGTCACAAACCATCTGATGATACTGAGGAAGTTCCTGTTCAAAGCCCTGTGACTCCAGATCCTCTTAAGGTGGCTGTTTGTTCCCTTTTTCAATTGTTTGCTCTGTTAATTTTTTCACAAGAAGTGTCTGTCTGTTACTCATTTAAAAAGGCTTGTGTTTTTACATTAGAATTTAATCTCTAGATACTCTTACTCACTTTTAATGCTTATACTTATTGGAAGGTGTACGCATCTTTCTATAGAAGCACATGTTCATAGATCAATTGCAACCCATTATAGTCATCATCATTTTTTGGGGGTCATGGCTGAGCATGGTGGGTCAGGGTAAAAAAAAACGCATAGTTAAAATATAGGATAGAATCCTTTTAAAACTTTTCAATCTTGATGACAAAATTCAACTACTTACCACTTGGTATTTATGCTATTGATTAATTTTCTGAAGATGGTAGATAAATTATATCTCTTTTCTTGCAATATGAATAAGATAGTTGAGTTTTTGAGGTGGCAGATAGCTCCTGGAAAGTTATCTTGGTCTAAAAGTCTCTATATATTTCCACATTAAGTATTGTTGCTAGTTTAAGCATAGCTTAGAGTTTTTTTTATGTTCTTTATTCAATTCATGCTACTTGCATTATTTTAGCTGGAAAAATTTTCGACTTTTATACCAGGGCAACCTGATGCCAACCTCTATCCTTGTTAAACAGAGAGTCCCATATAGGAAACACAATCATGATGATGAAGCTGCCACCAATGTGGGGACTTTTGAGCTAATCAATTTTAAGGAGGTATAGAAAGGAGCGTTAGTTGTATTATAGTTTCTGGGTTTGTTTTCTTTTCTTTCAACATTTCTACCCTTTCCAAGTGTGATCATGAGTTGAATATAGATATTTTGACACTTTCCTTTATAATCCTTTTGGACGTGCTGGAGATACTTGTTAATGAAATTGCTGCTACAATCTGCTTCAGGGTTCCAATATGCCTTTTGGTATATGATTGCTGAATGAGAGTGCATAATTCTATTCTTCGTAGTGTTTGATGTATGAGTTGGAAATAGGCAAAGGGGCCAGAAGGAGGGGGAAATTGGTTTGTCAATCGTTAAAAAATGATGAATATGTTCCAATGTTGATGCTTCTGTAAATAATTTTTGTACTGGGTGTATTTACAAAAAAAAAAAAAAAAATTTACATGGTCTTGGATGATGAATCAACTAACTTTTGGTTCTCAGTTTAGCCTGGCGAAACTTTTGTTGTTGTCTGGATCTAGCAGATAGATTTAGTATGTAGCAAATAATTTTGTATGTTCATTAGTTATTACCTTTGGAAATATGAGTGGTGCTGGTAATGGGCTTTCCTACTTTTGTTATTGATGTGATCTGACTTTTGGTGTTTGTTTTGAGTTCTTTTCTCTTGCTGAGGATTGACCAATTGAGAAGCAGTGGAAAGTAATCATAAATTAGGGCATGGATATTAAAAGGCTTCATGCCATTCTAAGGTTTACAAGATAGAAGCTGAGATGGCTCTACTTATAATCTTTTGATTCTATGTTGAACAAATCTGCAATGCAACTATTGTGATTGTATTTATATTTATAGGGGTCTTTTCTTTAACCTTTTGTAGACTAAGCTTGACATTCTTAAAAATGTTACAGGGCTGCAAAGAAAATCAGAACATTAATTTATTACATCTATGAATTCATTAAGAAGCAATGGTACTTTATCAAATTAGAGAACTGAAAACTGAAAATAAATTTCATTTTGCTGTTGTGTCTATTTGTATGCAACCCTCCTGTGGGTAGCTGTAATGAAACAGAAACATAATTTATTATATTGCTAGTTTGTGTGTTATAAAAATCAATTCCTCTCTTATGCTAAACATGCACTATTGTGGTGTATTTAGTAATGATAGTGGGGACGAGCACAATATTTAGCGTGGTTGAACATTGAATTCAAGAACTTTTGTATTATTGTTTCATTTTTGGAAACACTTTTTGCGTCTCAAGTTGATTTATGTTTTTGTCTTCATTTTCTGGCAGTTTGACAAACTCTCACTAGTGTGGGGAAAACCCCGACAACCACCGTTGGGGTTGGAAGAGGTAAGGAACCAGATGCAAACTTTGTTATTTTCTTGTGTTTAATTTGCTTATCTAATTTCGCCATCCTTTCTGGTTGGGCTGGTTACCTTATTTCCTTGCTTCTGTGGGTTATGCCTCCATTGCCGGTGTCTTGCTATATGATACGGAATAGATTAGTAATAAAATTTTCTAATTTTTATGTTAAAGCCTTCCTTAAATATGATCTTTGAAGTTGCTACATACTTTACGAGCTTTCTTCCAAGGACTTCTAATTCGTTATGTGATTGGTATTGTATTGCCCTTCCGAAATTTAATTGTTTTTTCAGTGGGCCACATTCTTGGATTCAGAAGGGCGAGTGATAGATTCAAAAGCTTTAAGAAAAAGAATATTTTATGGAGGAGTTGAACACAAATTACGAAAAGAGGTTTGTATTTGTACTATGAAAGGAATTCTCAGTGGATCGGTTCTTTTTATTTAAAACACAGCTTAATCTTAGAGATCTTAGTTGTGATTTTTAGGTCTGGGCAGTATTATTGGGATATCATACATATGAATCAACATATGCTGAGAGGGAATATCAAAGGTCTATCAAAAAGGCAGAATATGAGACTATAAAAAACCAGTGGCAGGTTTGCAGTATTCTTTGTCTATTTGTGATGCAGCATTCTTTCCTTTCTCCATTAGTTTCAGTGGTCTTTACTCTTTATGAGCAGCTGAAAATTTGAGGTTCAGAATAAAAATGTTTGTTTTCAACCAAAGACATATTTGGATGTTCTTTATTAACATGAAACTTTCTTTCTCTTTTAATGCTTCTATGACATGAATTGTTTTGGTACCTCTCTTAGAAATAGGTGTTTTTTTCCTTATCTTTTTGGTTGCCTTTATGTTGCTTTGCATGTTCCTTTCGGGGGAATGAGGGTGGGGGGGGGGGGGGGTGCCTAAAGATTTGTGTTTGTCTTTGAGGTTTCTTTCACAAGCCTGTGTGCTAAGATTGCTGGTTGGCTTCTAGGTGTATGGCATGTTGCACAACTTGCATACCTCCTAGATTTGCCTCTGAATGGAGAGCCAACCAGGAAAGTGTTTTTTATTAAGACAAACCCAATTAGCTTATAAGGGCAGCGTATATGGCTTACTGGGAGCTCTAAGGAAACCAATGACTTTAAAATGAATCCACCCTAGAGATGACATATCTGTTGGGGTTTTTCAATGTTGGAAAGCGAAACCTGTTGACCTTATAACATCTTCTGGATTACATCGACTAATGGAAAAGCCAAAAAGACAATGCCTTCCAGTGAGTTTTGTTATTTAGAACTGATACTTGGTTATAAGTTATATTAGAGTATAAGAGTATGGGAACGTAAAATGCTATATGATTACTTAATGAAGCATACAGATAATGAATGCTAGAATAAGAAATACTGCAGTGGGGAGATAAAATCTGGAGCCACCTTTTTTTTTGTCAATTATTTGATCTCAATCAGTATTGTCTTAATTAAAAATGGGGGCTATCAGATGTTTGTAAATCAGTAATATCATTTTTAGGTTTTCTAGTCCAGATGTAATATAATTTTTAATGGGGATAATTGCTTCAGTTTGCAATACCTACTGCACTGCTGCAGAATCTATTCATTTGTGCTATAAGCACAATATTATTCCAAATTTCTGATGTTTGGTGAGAATAGTTTTGTAGTTTATTTGATAGGACTTAGCTGTGATTAATGCTTTGGGTGTTTGGATGAATAATGTTCTTAGACTTCTTGTAACCATGTCATGCTGTTTTTCTGTTAAGAAAAGTACTTTTTCATCCTGGCAAAACTTATTTTTTTATATGGAGCTTAGTACTTGTTTGCTGAATATTTTGGCAGAGTATCTCTCCTCAACAGGCTAAAAGGTTTACAAAGTTCAGAGAGAGGAAAGGCCTTATAGAGAAAGATGTGGTATGTATGAAACCATCGCATGTTTGAGTTTGGAGTTTCATATATTCTTTTTATTCTTGAAAAGTGTAATAGTGCCATCCTGAGTTCAATGTAACCACTGTGTTTTTGTTGTTTTAAAGGTAAGGACAGATAGATTGCTCTCTTTCTATGATGGGGATGACAATCCAAATGTGAATCTTTTACGTGATATCCTGCTGACCTACTCTTTCTACAACTTCGATCTTGGTTACTGTCAGGTAATTACTTCTGTTATGCTTTTATTTTCAATCTGTTGGTCGCCTAGCAAATAAGCTAATTTTACAGTCATGCTGAGTTACGACTTTAATGTTGGTTGTTTTATTTGATTCAATGAAAAAATCTTGGGTGTTTTTAAAATAGACCAAAAATGGTGTTTTAAATTGGATATAGATGTTCTTGGCGAAAATAACAATGGATATGCATGGGAGCATGAGGTATTAGTCTGATCTAAATTCTAATGTGTGCTTAATAAATGGCTTTATGTGGCAATACAATTCACTACATTTCATGCGATTGCACGATGAGCTGCCAACATGCAGGTGACATGGCATTGTTGAAATATGACATAAGAATCTCATTAAGTAAAGCAGGCAGGACAGATAATATTCCATGTCACATACTTTGAGAGCATTAATCAATGAATGAATTTGAAACAGCTTTTCTTATATGAATATATTTTAAGTGCATTTAAGTGGGGATTATCATCAGAAAGCTATATTTAAAGTTGAGCATAATGGATTGTCTATGTTATAATTTTCTTTTTCTTACATGTGGGGCACAATTTAATTTCAAAGTATTGTTTGGGGCTTTTCTCCTTTGGTGATGTATTTCTGATTTTTGTTCCTTTTTTTCCTTTTCTCAAATTTACTCAGGCAAAGGGTTGGGCTCTTTATACGTCTTAAATGCATCTTTTTTTCTTTAGATAACTTTAAAAACATAGAGACACATACACACGTGGAGATGGACATAAAATTGCAATTGTTTTTCTGTTTGTACATCTTATTGTAGATTATTGGTTCAGGCATGTGAACATTTAGGCCTATAGCTTGTTTCTTTATTCCATGCATGAATGAGTTTATCCAAAGTTTATATCCATTATGGCACTTGTTTTCTATATGGTCGTATCTTCACCCCTTTTTCTATCCTTTCTTTCAGGGTATGAGTGATCTGCTATCCCCAATTTTGTTTGTAATGGAGGATGAGTCAGAATCATTTTGGTGTTTTGTGGCCCTTATGGAACGCCTTGGGCCCAATTTTAATCGTGACCAAAATGGCATGCACTCTCAGCTTTTTGCATTATCTAAGGTCTTGCTCCCCCCCTTCTCTCTTACAAATTGCTGGAGTCATTAGGTTATCAGTTAAAAGGGCTGAGACTTTTGGTTTTTCTTTTGTTAAAATGTGGAATATAAATACTTAAAGATAATATCTTGTTTACACAACCCCATCCCCTCCTCCCCCGCCCCTTTTTTTCTTTGGAGTGGGGTTATTTTTCTCTTCCTCTCTGTAGTGGAAATGGGCAATAGTGTCTTGTTCAGAATTTTTTGGACATCAATATCTCTTAGGACTATTTAACTTTGTAAGTGTGTAAAATAATGTCAGAGAATTCTGGCATTTGTCTTTAGTTTTTTTAAGAAAATTTTTTATTAATCTTATTGATTCTTCTTCATCTTGAATCACTCCCTGAAATTTCAGCCTCTGCATTTGCAGTGGTGTAAAAGCAATAGTTGCATTGATATGATATGGATCTAGCATGAGTTTGTCAAACTTTGAACTCTGAATCAAAGTTTGTGGTGTAGCTTCTTAGGAGGCTTAACATGATGAGAGAGCAGGCCTCAAAAGTTTATGTTTCATGAATCATTCTTATAGTGATAGATTGCATTTTTATGATGAGAATAGACCTTCGTATCGGCCATTCTTTGCTTGAGTTAACAACTATAATGTAGAAACATGTATAACATGGTTAGTGTTGATTCCTTGAGTCCTTGAAGAAAGTTAATCATGAAGCACCTATATGCAATGCCATCAAACTTATGTTTCTTAGAGATCGGTGGGATTTAATCCTTTAGGTTCCTGGGAAGGAAACAACTTGAAGAAGATTAAAGGGGTATTATGACTATACTTCTAACAAGTAATTTATGAACAGCTAAACCACTCTCACCTTCCCTCTAAACAACATAAAGAAGATTAAAAGGATATTACGACTTTGTACTTCTAACAAGTAATTTATAAAAAGCTAAAGTGAATTAGTTGTGAACAGAGTTTTGGTTTCTGATTTTGAGCTGTACCTCTACTTTTTGCAGCTGGTTGAGTTGGTAGACAGCCCATTGCATAACTATTTCAAGCAGAATGACTGCTTGAATTATTTCTTCTGTTTCCGCTGGATACTGATACAGTTTAAAAGGTCAGACTCTTGGATTTAGTAGTTCATTCATTTGCTTCCATGCTAGCATTCATTTAGGGTAGATTTCCTTTAATTTTGCAATGCACATATGTTCCTGTTGCTGCATTCCTATTTTCATTGAAACATGTTGCAATGGTTCATGTAAAGTAGAATAGTTTGTGGTATAACTCTTACAATGTTCTGCAAGGGAGAGGAAAGTGGGAGGATGAGTGCCGTTTTTTTCCCAAGTCTGTTCATTTTAGTTCACTCAATTTGGATGGACATAGGGAGAGGAGAATAAATGTTGACAATTTTGCAAATTTCCGTCATATCATTCACATTTCAGATGAAAGTTAGCTCTTTCTGCTGTTTCATTTTTCATCCCTATTTTCAACAACACCCTTAATCTCATTTAGCATATACTTTTCTCGATGTGCATATACTTTTCTTGATGTGCATGTACCTCTCCTTCCATCCTTCAGAATTCAACATCAATTATGTAAATGGAAACGTTGTCGGGAGGGACAGAGGAAAGCAGGGAGAACACTTGTTTAAGGTGTTCAGCAGTTTGAGTCGATTGCTGAAAAAATAACAATGAGAAAAAAACTGAGGCATAGACTTGATTTTATCTGCATGCAACCATATTGAGATTTCAAATTTATTTTTTTCCTTTCAAATTTCATCTTGAGCTTGCTTATTATGCATGCACTATGAGACGTAAAGATGAATTACTGTGTTTTACATGTGATGTGGTCTCAACATGTTTATCAGGGAACTGGAATATGAGAAAACAATGCGATTGTGGGAAGTATTGTGGACACATTATTTGTCGGAACACCTGCATCTGTATGTGTGCGTAGCAATCTTGAAGCACTATCGTGGCAAGATAATGGGAGAGCAAATGGACTTCGACACCCTCTTGAAGTTCATCAATGAGCTGAGTGGTCGGATTGACCTTGATGCAACCCTCAGGGATGCAGAAGCTTTATGTTTATGTGCCGGCGAGAATGGAGCTGCTCGCATCCCACCTGGAACTCCACCTTCATTGCCTGTTGACAACGGATTATTCTATTCTCAGCAAGATGAAGTATTGTAAATGAGATCCCTTTCTACATATCAAATCTGAATTCATGATTCTATATTGAAATAGCTGATTTTTCCAAGACAATAATTCAGTATTTTTTTTTCCCTTGAAAGGCAGCTTGCCTTAAATAAATCAGTTAGCCATGTTCGCAAATCTCCTAGTAATCTTCTGATTCTCAGCTGATTTTTGGTGGATTTCTTTTTTAGTTTTTTTTTTTTCCTTTTATTTGAAACGAAGGAGAACATCTCACTATTTCAAAGAATTGAAGAGATCATTTCACTATTGGCTTTCTTTTTTTTTTTTTATGAATTATTTTCCGAAATGGAAAGAATTATAATTTTAACTCAAGCCTTAGGATCAAAATTACTGATAAGTTAAAATTATAATCCTCGCTTCACTGGTTCACAATTAAAAAAAAAAAATCCTCGTGATGCTGTCAACACGGCTTTCTAAAGGTGGTGGTACTACGATGCCATGACCTCTCCCGCTAAAGCCTAACACTGTTTGCCCCTTGGGATAAAACAAACACCTCCCTCTGGCCCTACCCGGCAAAGTGCTCTTCCCCGGTGGTGGCCCACGTATATGCTGGCTGTATCTAAGGCAAGAATGATTGGATTCCCACATGATCTGAATCTGTCCCAAATGCTTCGAACAGAACAAAAGAGTCCATATAGGATGTGAAAGGCCCTTCATCAAACACGAAATTTGAATAATCGGGGTTCATCATCATCAGTGGAGTTCCTATCATGTCAATGTCATAGTCATAGTCATAGTTGAAGCACTGAACTGCTCCTTCCATCCATGTACCATCTGTAAAACTACTTTCTTCCTTCACTTGTTGCTTCTTCTCGTCCAAATCCATCAATCCCTCATCTGTTGTCCTTTCCGGACTTGTGCTGAAAATGGACTGAGACTTATGCGGCTGGCTTGGTTTCCTGCGATCTTGCTTCTCAATATTGTCTTCGTTGTCAATATGTTGCTTGTTTGAGTCAATAGTTTTTCTTTTGCCTAAAAGATTTTTCTTGTTCAAATGGGTATTCCAATAGTTCTTCACCTCATTGTCGGTTCGACCAGGAAGTCTCCCAGCAATTAGAGACCATCTACAATTCATTAAAAAAATAATAATAATAACAAATACACCAACACCAGAAATGACCAATTTATATTTAATTTAATGAAACCAAAAAAAGAATATAAAACATATTTTTCAGCATGGATAATGTATAATCTAATACTAGTAATTGCTTGATCGAGTTGGAATTCTAAAAATCGAAAATATATACTAACCTGTTACCAAGAAGCTTGTGCATTCGGATTATAAGGTCTTCTTCCTCCTGAGACATTCCACCACGTTTTATGTTTGGTCTTAGGTAATTCTTCCATCTCAGTCTACAACTTTTCCCTCCTCTCATCAACCCTGACAATGTAGAATTAATTACAAAAGCTATATATGGCTATTGTTGCCTACGTACTTATAATTAGCATAGTGAAAATCAAGAGCTGTTGCTTACAAAATTACTTCATCATCAACATTAATTCGAGATTAGAATTGAGAAACAGTGTTGCTAGTTAATTTGATATACCTGATCTCTTAGACACGGTTCCCCAGTTGCCTTCGCCATGGGTCTCTACATAATTCTTCAAAATCAAGTCTTCCTCTGGCTTCCATAAACCTCTCTTTGACTGTGCCTTCGTTTCTTTAATTTTCTCCATTCTTGCTTCTCTCTCTCTCTCTCTCTCTATCTTTTGGACTCAAACGCTCATCACAAAAAAGATTTTGGGGGTGAAGGTGATTGATTATTCTGAGTTAGATTGAGAAGAAGATTATATATATAAGGGAAAGCGAATTCTAGCAAACTGAGATAGTGAGATGTCAAATCTTTGGGCCAATTTGCAAAATATTCGTGCATGTACAATAGTACTAAAACAGTGATCAAAGGATTGACAAGGGAGGGCCCCCTATTTTCATTTACTTTTGCTTTCCTTCTCACGATCTCCCTCTCTCTGTAAAAGCAAACCAAATTTAATTCCTAAAATCAATTTAAATCTCCATCTCCTAACCATATTAAAAAAACGTTCACAACAAGCTAAATGAAATATAGGGACAAAAAATTTTGAGAATTAGGGTTGTTACTTGTTACCTACCATCCTTTCTGATATCTCCTCAAAATGGTTTTAATGGCTTTTGCTGAATTAAGGAGGACATAGAGGAAGATTAGATGAGCCTAATGCAACAACTATTAAGAAAAATGCAAAATCAAAGCACACCCAGTTCTGCAAACTTATGAATTATATCCCTTTTTGCCAATTATATCCTAATAATTTATCTCCTAGCACATTGGGATATGTAAATGATCTGATGCACCACTATCTCCCCCATGCAGCTTTTGTCAGCCCCATGAAATGACATGCAATAGTAGGTGTTAACTGATTTGGTGGAGAGAAATGTGATGAATTTTATTTGTTTTAAGAATTCAAGATGTGGAGGGATGGGAGCTAGGCAATGTATGAATTGCTAGCTTTTCAGCCGTCTCTGTCAGCTGATCAGTAGGAACATTTGCTTTTGATTGCTATAATTTTGCCTTTTCTCATTCTCCTTCAGTAGGGCAGTTTGTCTCAAAATCTTTGCCAAGATAAAACAAACTAGTATCAAACAATTATACCTCTCATCATCGAATAAGCAATGCGGGCTCAATTTCAACCAAAGCCATTCACAACCAACATTTCAACAAAAGTTGACGATAAAGAATAAAAAACCATAAGCTTTTGTGAATTAATTTGCCAACATTGTCGTATTTAGCTTGTCATTCCTAGTTACCTACGCTTTTTAATCACTCGAATATTTCCATCCTTTTGTTACTACACAAGAAAGATAAATCTCGAGTTCTACTGCTAATTGTTTTACTTGAATATTTCCCACTTACATGGACAGGGATAGCAGATTTCCTTTCCTTTTTCTGAACTACCAAAACGTATTTCGAGATACCAAAAATGGTAGTATCATATTTGACTGACGGTTACCTCGGAACGTGTCACAAAAATCATGGCGTTGGCCCTCCGGGTTGACAATTTAGTTCAGGAGTCTTGTAATGTCGATAATCGTGTCAATTTGGTTCCACGTTTAAATAGTTTCATTTGACTGAAATTAATCAATCTTTGACTTTAATTAGTTTTTAAAACGAGTTATATCTTACAATTCTTGAGTTGAACATGAAATAATCTTTACGTTTATAGAATTATTATGAGACTGAAATTATTATAATATTTACTTATTTCAAAAGAAAAGTAGTCTCTGTTTGATCGTATCAAAAAGTTTTGAGATTAAAACCTATCATCATTAGAAATGAAGATTCCAGTAGGAACAATCTCCCTTGGGTGTAGCTGCAACATTCAAAGTTAAAGATAGAGCAGAAGCAAGAAAGTTGGTTGCCGACTTAAACCCATTTGAAAGTTGGAAATTATTATCTCAGCCTGCGTCCTTGAGCTTCAAGTCTGTCAGAAACTATACTGTTGGATTATTCTCTTGTATCCCCGCTTTCCTTTTTTTCATGTCATTATCACAATGTAAAGTTCTCCCTACATTTCTCATCCTTTTACTGCCTAAATACAACAACTTTAAATTTTTTCAGGGGCGGAAAACTTTTACGTGAACTGCAATCTTGATTTTTTGGGTTAATTCCTCTATATATGGTTAGTGGGATTTTCCCTTTTACAGGATCAAAGCTGCAATAAAATCTCAGTCTATCTCCCCAGTCCTCTCTCTCTCTCTCTCTCTCTCTCTCTCTCTCTCACACACACACACACACACACGCGCGCGCGCGCACAAAAGCCTCATGGGAATGGATCCAGGATGCATCCATTCCATTCTGTTCCATTTCTTTTGTGTTGTCTCTTCTCATATAGGATGTATATATATTCCTAACTAATTGGTCATATAGTTTTTGTCATAAGATTTTGCCGATGATTCGCATGAAATATCATATATTCCACTTCGTCCTATGCTCTCAAAGTTGTATTTTTAAAATACATGAGTATTTAATATTAAGATTTTCAAGCACATATATATATTTCATAATGAAATCAACATAAAATAAATTAAACATGTATTAAAGATAACATTTAATGTGGTTTTCTCAATTGTTTATATCCACAGACAAAAAAAAAATCACTATAAATATAAATATAAAACTCCCAATAACCAAACATTAATCTTGAATCTTATAATAATCTTAGTTTTTATGCCACTTGTGTTTAAACACATAGAATATTTTATATATAATGTAACTTAATATATATATTTTTTAACTTTTTCTCACGTCCTACAAATTTATCTCCTATGGAAACATTACATAAATGTTACATTTCTCTCGTATTCTAAAGGTTTTTTTTTTTTTAGCAAATCTCATAAATATCTAAAAAAAAAAAATCAAATCTTTTGATATTTGAATAAAATATGTTCAATATTTAATTTTTGTTAAGTGCATGGATTCTATTAAGCACTTAAATAACATTCGAGTCCTTTTTTTTTTTTAAATAAAACGCTACTAACATTTTTTTCCTTTTTATTTTCACCCTATATGTGTTTAGATGAAGTGATTTTCATTTTTTCCAGACCAGGAAACTAGCATACTGTCTATAAGAACAAAACCAAACAATATGGGATTGGCAAATCATTTTAGAATAGATGGTTAATTTCTTGGGATATGAATTTGGTGCTACACTAAATGTGTGCACGTATTACGAAGTTTGTGCAATATTCACTTTTAGGCTTGCATGTGGGGATAGGCTTTAGATCACGAGTCCTTCACTTTCCCACCATTTCCACAATGATATCTTACTTTGTTTTTCGCCCGCCAATTCACATAAATTCTTCCCACACTTCACCAGCTCCACTCATTTTCAAACTCCAAAATTAATCTCCCTACCTCTTTGATCTTGCTTGAAAAATGGGTGTTTTCCCTTTTTGTAACCATGATTATTAGGATATTTTTACCTATAAAAGACCATTGTCTTTAACAATCAAATATATTACCAAAGTAATGTCTCTTCACTCGTGCCAAGATTCTGACGGAAGGGCAAGATTCACGTGTATATTTGCTTAAGAGCAAGTCTACCAGTGGAGACCATGACAAGCAAAATTAGGGAAGTAAAAAAAACAATGTTTTGGTGTATTCTTTTGTCTATTAGTAGAGACCATGACCAGCAAAACTAGGAACAAAAGTTGGACGTTCATTGGAGACGAGGGGATCATGCCCTGAAGCTTGTGATATGCCTGACACAAATGAAGCGGACTTATAAATATTTAATTTTGTTCGAATTGATTAAAATGAATTTGATAAATTAAATTTAAATTTATCGATTTGCTATTTTCTTACTCATGTTAGGCATGAAATTTTTTATTATATTTTTTTATAATTTAAAATATTATATATAAATAAAAAAATTTATAATCATCTATAATTTGTATAAAAAATTGCAAAAATAATTTATATATAAATTATTACCAAAGAATCCAAATTAGCATTTTGTAAGTTTTGAAAAAAAAAATTAATTTCAATAAAATTTCTTTGAGTTATGAAAATAAAATTACAAACAAAACTTAATAAAAAAAGTCAATACCTTATTTTATAATTATATAAACTCTTAAAAATATATATTATTTTAGTGTGAAAATTAAGATTTACACATGTGACATATTATTTATAAGTTGAAAGCCTTAATTTTGTTTTTCTTTAAAATTTTTTGGATAGTAAATTTATAAATTTTAATTTGAAATTTCAATGAAAATAAAAAGAAATTTAGGCTTATAATTAGGATTTACCATTCTATTAATGGATGTAAAGATTATTATTTATATGCTTTTGAATTCAAATTTTTTTTATAAAATCAAATAAATTCACAATATTGATAATTAAATTTAGCATTTCAAGACCAACATAAATACTATTCAAACTCCAAAATTGTCAAAAGAAAAGTAGCGTATGAATTGTGATTGCATGCTTATATATTAAATTATTACATGATAAAATTTTTTTAAGAAGAAATGTACTATTTTGCAATATGATTGTAGGTTTAAATCAATATTTATGATTTTAACTATTAGATAAATTTGTGAATAATTTGGTCAAAATATAAATATCAATTTAAATATGTGTAATTTTAAATTGAGATAAAATATTTTTTTTTATTTTACATAGTAGGAAAATGAAGATAAAAAAATTGGTAAATAATAATTATTCAACTACAAAATTTATTAATTGAAATTTATATAAATATTGATTTAGATGATGTATGATTTTTTATGATTCCTAATTAAGATTTAGAGATTTAACCTTTAAAAATTATTTAAATTTTGTATTTCATATATATGGGAAAGAATGAGGTATGAGATATGTTTTTTGGATTTAAATTAAGATAAAACTTATATACTTTGAAATATTAAGATAAATGTAAATTTTAAAATTTTAAAATTTAAAAATTTGAATAATTGATTGAATAAAGTTATTTAGAACTGTTTCACGTGTCAATAATATAAATTGTTCATCTAAGAATTCACTAAAGCAAATTTTATGATATTTTTATGTATGTTGTAATATAATATTATATATAATTTATTGCATATAAGATTCAATTGATTTTCTTGTCCCAGTAATTGATTCAAATTCAAATTGAATTTGAAACCCAATAGTTAATTTGAGATTTATGGCATAATGAAATTTAAGCCCAAAACTATAGTCCAATATTTATTTCTTTATTTATTTTATTATTATTTTCATTTTAGTTGTAAAAGTAAAAAGTCAAAAAATAAATAAAAATTAAAAAAAAAAGGACAAAAACTTAAAATCAAAATTTTTTTGTTAGTATTCTTCCATTTTTCTTCTGCCATTGCAAGACACAAGCATTCAATCATCCCCGTAACCTGACACCACACACCCTGCCAACTCCATGAATCAAGAAATTCTGATCCCTGAAAATCTGGGATGAAGATTTTCATCCCAGATTGGACCTTTAAAACGGCTATCCACAGACAAGCAAAAGGGGGAGGAAAAAATTTTTTCACATTGTCTGAAAAAAAAAGAAAGAAAGGAGGCC